CGTCGAGTCGGCCCCGACTCATAGCGACCCCTCCTTGGGTTTCCGAGGCAGTATCACTACGGAAGTAGGATTGCCCAACCTTCCTTCCGAGGAGTGGCAGATGGGTTTGAACCGCCAGCCTTCTGGTGAGCAGTCAAGTGCCTTAGGCACCATGCCACCAGAGCTCCTCAATATGTGTTGGAAGTGGAAAACTTCAGGGGGTCGAAAGCCTGTGATGGGGCCTTCCTGATGCTCCGGTCGCCTTTCTGTCATGAGTGGTATGTCATTGCTGGCACGGCAGGACAGATCTTGTTTTCTGCCAGGTCCCAGGACGCAGTGCCCCGTGCTCACACGGATGCTGTGAGCATCCACATAGCTGGGGTGTCTCCTGCTTCAGCACCCAGTTCTTCCTCACATGAGCACAGTGCATCCTGGTGTGTCCTCGGAGCTTGATTCTCCAGCTGAGACATGACACCTGAGGCACCATAGTGGTTATTTCAGCAACCTGAGCTCTACCTGCCACGGTTACTCACATTCACTCCTGATGAAATGGAGGCTCAGGGTATGTGAAGATGTTGTCACCAGGGGGAAGGAGAGTAAAGACCCTCAGCCCGGGCTGATGCCTGTGAGGTGGAGGTCAGTCATGCCGCCTCTCTCCAGCCTATCTGCCGATTCGGACTCCAGCCATGCCTCCCATGGCGTCTTCTACTTCTCTGCCGTGTTCAATAATGACTTGAGTGGCCACACAGAACTCTTGGGTATGGGGTGGGGTGCAGTGAATTGCATGGTGTGGCTTTTCTGTCCATGATCTTTGTGACTCCCACCAGATTACTGGGTGGAACTACCCAAACATAAGGTGCTTGTTGCCTACCAAGGGGGTAGGACAGCGACCCCGTGTCCAACAGAATGGAACCCCGCCTGGTCCTGTGCCGTCCCCACAGTCCTTGCTGTGCTTGAGCCCATCATTGCAGCCACTGGGTCAGTCCATCTCGTTGAGGGCCTTCCCTTTTTCACTGACCCTCCATTTTACCAAGTCTGGTATGTCTCTCCAAAGAATGGTCCCTTCTGATAAGGTGACAAGGTAGATGAGACAGAGTCTGGCTATTCTCACTTCCAAGGAGCATTCTGGCCGCATTTCTTCCAGGACACATTTGTTTGTTCTTCTGGCGGTCCATGGGGCTTTTGGTATTCTTCACCAGCACCACAACTCAAAAGCATCAACTCTTCTTTGGTCCTTATTCATTTTCCTGCTCTCACATGCATACGAGGTGATTGAAAACACCATGGCTTGGGTTAGTCGGTGAACCTTAGTCTTCAAGAGGAGCTCTGATGGCGTAGTGCCTAAGGTATTTGACTGCTAACAGAAGGCTGGCGGTTCAAACTCACCGGCCACTCCTTGGAAGGAAGGTTGAGCAATCTGCTTCCATAGAGATACTGCTTTGGAAACCCAAGGAGGGGTTGCTATGAGTCAAGTCAACTTGATGGCAGTGAATTTGTTTGGTGAGTCTTCAAAGAGATGTTTTGCTCTTCAGCACTTTAAAGAGGTCTTTTGCAGAGATTTGCCCAGTACAGTACGTTGTCTGATGTCCTGACTGCTGCTACCATGGGTGTCAGTAGTGGAACCAAGTATTAGGAAGTCCTTGACAACTTCAGTCTTTTCTCCATTTATCGTGAGGCTGTTTATTGGTCCAGTCGTGAGGATTTTTGTTTTCTTTATATTGAGGTGTAATCCATACTGCAGATCCTTCAGTCTTCGTCAGTAAGTGCTTCAAGTCATTTTCACTTTCAGCAAGCAAGGTTGTGTTGTCTGTGTATTGCAGATTGTTAATGACTCTTTCTTCAATCCTGATGCCATGGTGTTCTTCTTCATATAGTCCATCTACTCAGATTACTTGCTCAGCATACAGATTGAATAAGTGTGGTGAAAGGGTTCAACCCTGATGCACTCCTTTCCTGATCGTAAACCATGTAGTATCCCCTTGTTCTGTTCTAACGACAACCTCCTGGTCTATGTACAGGTTCCTCATTAACACAATTAAGTGTTCTGGAATTCCCATTCTTCTCAATATTATCCATAATTTGTTATGATCCATGTAATCAAATGCTTTTTGCATAGTCAATAATATACAAGTAAACATCTTTCTAGTATTCTTTGCTTTGAGCCAAGCTCCATCTGACATCAGCAATGATATCCCTTGTTCCATGTCCTCTTCTGAATCCAGCTTGCATTTCTGGAAGTTCTGTGTCAATATACTGCTGCAACTGTTTTTGAATTATCTTCAGTAAGATTTTATTTGTGTGTGAAAGTAATGCTCTCACTCTCACTGTCATCAAATGGATTTCAACTCATAGTGACCCCTCCTTGGATTTCTGAGGCAGTATCACTGTGGAAGTAGATTGCCCCATCTTCCTTCCGAGGAGTGGCTAGTGGGTTTGAACCACTACCCTACTGGTTAGCAGTCAAATGCCTTAGGCAATGTGCCACCAGGGCTCCTGATATTAATGATATTGTTCAATAATTTCCACATTCTGTGGAATCCCCTTTCTTTAGAATGGGCACAAATACGGATCTCTTCCAGCCAGTTGGCCAGGTAACTGTCTTACAGATTTCTTGGCA